GTGTGTGTGTGCGTCATCATCCACGCCCCTTCGTAAGTGACCGGTCTCTTCACTTGGCAAGCACGCTTTTGACCATGTGTATGACCAATTGTTGGCCACCTTCCGATCGTGGAAGTGGCTGTAGAATGGAATTGGCAATCCTCCCTCAATATTTAGTCCCAGATCGTTTATCCTTGAATGAATTGCCCTGGTTCTGTGATCCGCGGATTTTTAGCACTGGCCAGCCGAAGCATTAGTGACGTTTTTAAAACGCGCTGACATCATTGTGCTGTAACCGTGGCGCCTGATTGAGGCCTTCCTTGCACTTTTTGGGTCAGTCGAAAGCGTTTTCAGAAGACCTATTTTCGTGACGTTCACTTGCGTTCACTTTCTGCACTACCCTGATTTCCCTGTCCGTTTTTGCGATTTGAATATCCGCTTTTATATCAACGATTTTGTTTCCTCTTCTTTTGGTGGTTTTGCTCAAAAAAATGAGAATGTTTTTTTTAGATAGTCGAAAAAGCTTACGCGTAGATTTGTCTAGTAGTAGATGCTTTGCAGAAGGGACTACATTACGCACCTGGTCTTTACAGTGGCATCCTCGGCCTCTTGCGCCACCTGCTTGCGTTCGTTGATGTATGTGGCTTGTATCTTTGCTATGCTTGCTTGAGCGATGCCATGAAATGGGGTGTGTGGGGGGTGGGGCGAGTCAATTCTAAGGAATGGTTTCCAGTGGGGTTGATCGGAGTAGCAATGCTTGGTCCACAGCACGTATTATTCTTCCTGCCGAACCGTCAGTGGAATTAGTGCATAGAGTTAAACTATGCCATCATTTTATTACCTCTGTGGGTTTCGTAATATATCGCAAAGGTTAAGTTTAGGGTGTGATTTCATGGACTTTGTGTTGAATAGTTTCCCTTTTAGCTGTTCCATTTAATTAAGCACTTCTCATAATCGTTTCGTCTAACCGAAATGATGGAATTTGATTTATCTCCTTTCCCATTTCCGATTTCCAAGTTTTTGTTTTCAAGATACGGAAGGAAAGTAATCGTAAATGGTTAACTACGAAATCACCTATGGATCATGTTTCAGATTTGAGGAGAAAAAGTGTTTGGTTTTCTGTATCGTCTATTCTGTTTAACTTGAAAGATGCATTTGGAGCGTCTGCTGAAGAAGTCGGAGATCTCGGGTTATGACGAGTGCTACCCGGGTTTCGCAGAGTCCTACGACGCCATGGGTGACTCGGACGAGGAGACGGACTTCAGCAAGATGGATATGGGTAATAAGAAGGGCCCAGTGGGGCGGTGGGACTTTGAGACGCAAGAGGAGTATGGTGACTACATGTCAAGTCTAGAGGCGATGCCGAGGGCGGCCTACCAGTATGGTGTGAAGAAGCCAGAGGGGCGCAAAACGCGTCGATTGGGAGGTGGCGGAGGCCCCGGTGGCAGCCAAAAGAACGAGCGCGCCGAGGTGGACCGTCAGCTGCAGCAGATCACGTCTCTAATCAACAAACGCAAGCAGATGGCCCAGGAGGCTGGCGATGCCACTGCAAAGCGAATCAAGTATTGAGGGATGCGTTTGTCTCCTCCAACTTTTTTTTGTGTACATACTTTGTTTTTTTTATGCCTCATTCACCACAGTCTGGTGATGTAGTGGTGAGGAGGGGAGTAAAGTATACTACTTTTCTTGCAGCCTTGTAATTTGAAGAAGTGCTCTTAAATTTGCCTCGGTTGCTGACTCCGAACGCCATTCATTACGCTGTAACGGATGACGGAGGTGGAGCATAGTGATACATTGTTGGAATAAAAGTGCTGCTGCTGCTGCTGCTGCTGCTGCTGCTGCTGCTGCTGCTGCTGCTGCTGCTGCTGCTGCTGCTGCTGCTGCTGCTGCTGCTGCTGCTGCTGCTGCTGCTGCTGCTGCTGCTGCTGCTGCTGCTGCTGCTGCTGCTGCTGCTGCTGCTGCTAGCTGCTGCTG